CTTTCAAGCAGGAGGGAAAGGATACCAGGTGGAAACATGGGTAACACAAAGGAATGAAGAGGACCTGTGGATGGTAACAATGTGGATAAATATAATAATTTTCTTCTTATTTAAAACTCTTTATCTTTAAAAGATAATCTAGTGTTTAAATCAGGGATGGGAACCTTTTTTCTGCCAGGGGCCATTTGGATATTTATAATGTCATTCGAGGGCCATACAAAATGGGTTGCCTTGACAGGGCCAGACCAAATGACTTTTTGGGCAGTATACGGCCCATGGGCAGGACGTTCCCACCCCTGGTTTAAACCAAAAATAATAGCAGTGTATTGTGGGTTTATGTAAAAGGAAAGTGTATAACAAGAGCACAAAGGCTGAGAGAACCCAAGTGAAAGTACACTGTTGTGTTTTTTTTAAATATATCTTTGTTGATTTCTGAGAGGCGGGGTGGGGTGGGGTGGGGGAGTCATTGACCAGCTGCCTCCTGCACGCCTCCTGATGGGGATTGAGCCCACAACCTGGGCATGTGCCTTGACTGGGAATCGAACCATGATCTCCTGGATCATAGGTCGATGTTCAAACGCTGAGCTACGCCGGTTGGGCAGTACACTGTTTTTGGACATGAAGTGTATGATAGTGTTACTTGATAGTAAACCGCAATAAGTTAAATATGTATATCAGAAACCCAAATGCATCCATTAAAATAACTCAGCAGAATTAGGACATATACCAATGAAGGAGATAAAATGGAATCATAAAAAATAATCCAAAACAAGGCAAAAAAAATTAAAAAAGGAAAAATATAAGTATAGATAGGGCAAATAGAAAAAAATTAACAAGATGGTAAATTTAAACAGAATCCCATCAAAAATCACATTAAAATTAAATATGCTAAACATCCCAATTAAAAGAAAAAGACTGTCAGACTGATTAAACAATTAAGGTACAACTGTTTGCTGCCGACAAGAAAACCAATTAAATATAAAGACATAAAGAAGTTAATTATAAAAGGATGGGAGAAAATGTACCATGCTAAGATTAATCAAAAGAAAACTGAAGAGGCTATGTTGATACCAGAAAAAGTAAATTTTAGAGCAAAAATATTTTCGGGGATAATGATAAATGAATAAATTTGTCAAGAAAACATAAAAATCCTAAATATTTATGCACCAAATAAAAGAACTTTAAAATATAAGAAGCAAAATCTGATGTAACTACAGAGGAAAATGGACAAATCCCTTGTTATAGCTGGAGATTGTAATACCCCTCTCAGTAACTGATAGAACAAGTAGATGGAAAATCAGTAAATACAGAGAAGACTTGAACTACACCGTCAACCACCTTGATCTAATAGATGTTTATAGAACCCTTTGCCCGCAACAGCAGAAATACATCCTTTTCAAGTGTTCATCAAATATTTACCAGGCTATACCATATTTTGAACTATAAAAAAGTCCCGATGCATTGTAAAGGATTTAAGTCATACAAAGTAATTTTTTTGACACAGTGGAACTAAATTACAAACTAATAACAGAAAGATCTTGGAAAATTTCCAAACATTTGGAAACCAAATAACATATATCTAAACCCATGGGTCACAGAAAAATATCAAAAGTAAAATTAGGAAGTATTCTGAAATAAGTTAAAATGAAAGTTCAACATAGCTAAATATTTGGGTTGAAGCTAAAGCAATAGTTTGAGGGAAATTTATAGCCCTCAGGGCCTATATTAAAATAAAGGCAAAGTCTCAAATTAATGACTTCAGTTTCTAGCCTAAAGAAACTAGAAAAAGAAGAGCAAACCAAACCCTAAGTAAGCAGAAGAAAAGAAATAATAAAAATTAGAGTGGAAATAAATGGAACTGGAGGAAGGAAAACAAAGATGAAAATTAAGGAAACCAAAAACTGATTCTTTGAGATAAATAAAATTGATACGTCTCTAGCCAGACTGATAAAGGAAAGAAGACAAATTACCAATACAGTAGTGAGAGAGGTAGTGAGAGACATCAGCAGTGAAAGACATGACTATTCTGTAGATATTAAAAATAATGAGGTAATAGTATGAACAACTTTATGCCAACACATTTGAATACTTAGATGAAATGGACAGATTCCTTGAAAGACACAAATTACTGAAGCTCAATCAAGAAGAAATTTTAAAATCCTGAATAGTCACATATCTGTTAAAGAAACTAATTTGTAGTTAAAAACCTTCCCGCGACCTTGCAAAGGTGGTTGAGCATCCACCTATAAATCAGGAGGTCATGGTTGGATTCCGGGTGGGGGCACATGCCCAGGTTGTGGGCTCAATCCCCAGTGAGGGATGTGTAGGAGGCAGTAGATTGAGGACTCTCTCCCATCATTGATGTTTCTGTCTCTCTCTCCCTTCTCTCTAAAATCAATAAAAACACATTTAAAAAAACAAAAACCTTCTCACAAAGAAAACTCCATGCCCAGAGAGCTTTTCTGGGAGAATTCTATCAAACATTTAAGGAATAAATAATATCAAGTTTACAAACACTCTTGTAGAAATTGAGGAGCAGGGAATACTTTCCAACTCATTCTTTGAGACCAGTATTACTGTGATAGAAAACCAAGATGAAGATATTGGGAGAAAAGACAACAGACCATTATCTTTCAAACACATAGATGCTAAGTATTTTAATAGAATTGTTGTATCTCGAAAATATTTTAGCAAATGGAATATTATTCAACCATAAAAGGAATGGATTCTATTGTATAGAATATACCACATTTTGTTTATCTATTCATCAGTTGGTATACATTTAAGTTTTTCCCATTTGTAGGCTATTATGAGCAATGTTGATATGAATATTTGTGTATAAGCTGAGAATTTATTTTTATATTTTCAATCTTTGACACTTTGGATTGAGCCATGTACAGGTACACAACTTTGGCTATTTTTAAAATCCAAAGACATAAGATTTCTTTATGGTGGTAGAAATCCATGGAGCATATGCCATGTAGCAGAACAGACTAAAGAGTAGTTAAAAGAAAGCACTTGTTAATGCACCTGGGGCCAATTTTAGGGAAAGAAAGCTTAAAACAATCTTCTCCATACTTTCATTTAATTAATAATTTTCTGTAGTATACTTAAAATATGCATTGACATGTATATTTATCACTTCAATTATGATGATGTGATTGGCTAAAAAATGTAAAAATTTGAACCTATAGGAATTCATTCTAATTCTTCCATTTATGGGTGTTTTCTTCACACTAGCCATTGCACTAGGTGATGGGGTTATAGCAAAAACAAAACAGACAGGGTCTGTGCCCTTGAAGTGCTTATGCCCAATTTCTTTGAGGGTGGGAGGGTGGCTGTGGGGCATGTGTGAAGACATCCAGCTTGCGGATCAGGGGAGGCTTCCAGAAGGAAGTTCAAGCAAGCTGGGATCTGAAGGAGGAATGGGTATAGATAGCAAGAGAAGGGAGAGAAGAGGAAGGAGGAGGAGGAGAGTTCCTAAGCAGGAAGTTCAGCATGTTCAATGCATCACCTGTTCAAGGAATTGAAATTAAGGTTCAAGGCGAGGTATGGTGGGAGCTGAGGATGAAAAGAGCAGGAAGAGCCCGGTACCCTTGATAGCTGTTCCAGGCAGACTGGACGCAACGCCAAGAGCTGGGAACTCATTAAGGAGAGCCACATGAGCAGATCTGCATTTTGGCTACTCAAAGGGGCATGTTGGGTTGAGGTTGGGTCATGTTTCCCCTGTAGTGGAAGGGCTAGTTATGACAGTGGGAGGTTTGAGCACATGGGGGGCTCAGAGTCACTGTGGAGAAGGTGAGCAGGAGGGTGAGAGAAGCAGTTCCGGGCTGTTTAAAAGACAAATATTTTAAATCTACATCATCAGACATTATGGAGGGTTGTGTCCCAGGGATGTGGTGAAGCACGTTTGCATAATTGTGGTTCAGTGTGTCCCTTGCCTTAATTTAACTCAGTTGCCTTAATTAAACTGAAAATGCCAATAAAAAACAAAAATTGCCAAAACAGATTTTGTGGACAATGGAGTGCCAGCCATCCTTCATTCTCATTACAGTCAAAAGTTGGCAGTTCCCCTGCTGGTTTCACATACGTATTTGCTCTTTAGTTCTAGTTTGAAATTGAAAACCTGGAAGAGAAGCTAGTTATTCTCCTGCTTCCAGAAATCAAGGAGTCAGGGGTTGAGGATATAGGGGTGGGGGAAGGAGATCTACCTGAGTTGTTACTTTGCAATCATTGGAAGGCCACAGTATCTCAGATCGTAGTGCCAGAAGGGAATTAAACACAGGGCAGGGCAGGATATAGGGGAAGCAACCTTTCTAGTGGTATGGTTGTGGAGACCTCAGGAGACCTGTGCCTGCAAGCCTTGCTCAGTGAGGAGCTGGGAAACTGGTCTGGGGTCAGAGAGCTGCAGACAGTGGACATAAAGTAGGTCTGACTCCAAACTGGTGGTCTTCCTGTCCCCAGCAAGGTGCCACCAGAGGTTGGATGCTGATGGCCTGACAGAGGTGGCAGCAGGCCCACTGTTACTGCAGATGGCACACACAAAGGGATGGGTGGTAGGAGCTGCATAGCAATGGTCATTAGTTTATTAAACTCCCCTTAATGAGGGGTCCCCTAAGGGCTAAGAGTAAACTTAATCTTACTTTCTGACCATCTTTATATGTGTATTTGTTCCTGCAAATGACATATACACCATATAATGGTTTGAGGCAACTAGATATATTTACAAGGCAAGGCCATAATTCTGGGCCAAGTGGGCAGCTTAGTTTGCCCCAATTCAGCCAGGCTTACCCTTCCCATTCAGCCATGGGGCTGGTTCTTTGGACACCATGGGGAGGTACAGTCATGTTTTTAAGATTTCATCGTACATGCAGAGGTCAGAACCCATTTGATCAACTTGGCCTCCTTTCAGGAGAATGTCAGCATGCTTAACGCCTGAGCACACAACTTCTGTTTCCTTTTTGCAGAGGGATGAATCATGGCCTTTCTTCTTTGTCCAGGTATGTACCCTTTAGCTGCAGCAACTCAGGAGGCTGAGAGCAGCCGGAAGCTGACTCACTTACTGAACGCCGTGACCGATGCTCTGGTCTGGGTGATCGCCAAGAGCGGCATCCCCTCCCAGCAGCAGTCTGTCCGCCTGGCTAACCTCCTGATGCTCCTTTCTCATGTCAGACACGCCAGGTACAATCCCTGCGGGGGCACTTCACTGGGTACATGCGGGGGGCATGTTCAGAGGGTGAAAAACTGGGAAAAGTGTTTTCAAGTTTGAGATGGATTAGCTGGACTTGTTACCTTTAGAGGAAGATGAAGCCCTGAAAGGGAAGGGGGGCGGGGGTTCTTCATCAGTGCACACACCTGTAGCCAAAGGTCAGCACATAGTAGGCACTGGATGACTGTTGTGTGGCACCTTATAGGATCTTTATGGTATCTTGTGGTGGCTCATCTAATTCTTAGATGTTGGGGATTTTAGCTTGTTTAAGGAGTTCTAAAAGGGGCAGGTCCTTCCCTAAAGTGAACCACCCCCCCTCCTTGCACTACCTAGGGCTGGAGCCCAGAGGTCATTTTCTTGAAGAGGTTAAACCCAGCTTTCCTAGATCAACTCTTGAGGTCGGTGACCTGAGGAAGTGCACAAAGCCTTCCCTAAAGCTCTTTCCTTACGATAGCACCAAGATATTGAGGACGAGTCCGAAGAGAACTGGTGAGTTGACAGTTCTTTGGAAGGCAGGGCCGTGGTAAATGGTGTGTGGTGCCTGATGGTGGCTTTGTGTCACCCAGGATGAGGGTAGCCTGCCCTGAACTGGAAGAGGGGAGATAAGGAGGAATGTCTAGGGGCAATGAAGAGGACAACATACCCCTCAAGAATTTTAACAAGGGTTAGGAAATGAAAATGATCTCTGCTTCTGTTTAATGATTATTTGGCACACAACCATTTGCAGAACAGTCTATTGTCATTCAGTTTCTGTATTTGTGAATTTGCCTGCTTGCTAAACTTTATTTGTAACCCCCTAACTTGATTACTCTGGGGCTTTCATGGTCATTTGGGGACATTCACAGAGTGGCAAAAACATCTGAGTTGCCTGTGCTTACATCCCAGCTGAGGTCAAACTAGGTCACACTCTGCCATCTTGTTTCGTTCTTATACTGTAACAGGTGTCCCTTCTGCGGCCTGTTTAGTGCCGTGTGTTTGCATTTTTGTTTTTTGTTGGCGATTTCATTGCCCACAAATGGCCTCCACACACAGTGCTGAAGTGCCATATAGTATTCCTAAGGCAGGTAGGCCGTGATGTGCCCTACGGAGACGTTCAAGCATGAGCCATGCGGCTATAGGCCATGAGTCTGTTAATGAATCAAGTATGTATAGTAAGGTGTCTATAAGCAAAAACACAGATACAACAGGGTTATTAATGGGCTGATGAAAACGTGAGCAGAGGTTCTCAGCACCCTAACCCTGTATTTCCCTCAAGAGCAATGGTTCAGCATCTGCCAACTCAGTGTTTGCAGTGACTCTATAGAATGTAACTACTGTGAATGAGAATCGATTGCACTCTGTGCTAGGTGCAGCCAGGTCATTGCAGGTGGGTAATGGGACAGAGGTCACAGGACATGGTCCTTGCCCTTAAGTGTAGATTACTGAAGGAGCCAACTGAAAGAACCATAGAACAAAGGGCTCGGGGAAGTGTGTGAGTGCATGGACTGTTTATGTTGGGGAAGATTTCAAAGTTCCTGTGGCTGTATCACAGGAAGGAATCTCGGTACCTTTTTGTCCCCATAGTAACAAGGGCATGGAACACCTGCTCAGCATGAAGTGCAAAAACGTGGTCCCAGTCTACGACCTGCTGCTGGAGATGCTGAACGCCCACACATTTCGTGGGTGCAAGTCCTTGGTCACAGAGTCTGAGTGTAGCCCAGCAGAGAAGAGTAAGAGCAAAGAGGGCACTCAGAACCCGTCTCAGTGATGACCAGCCCGGAGGTGAACAGGCTGCAGAGGCAGCGGCTGAAGCATGAACTCCAGTGCAAATCGTGAGCCCCATCGGGATGGGCGGCCTTCGTCTTTCTGTGTGGTCTCTCCTTAGTTATGGTGGGTTCAGTCTGTACCATCCTTTCCCGGCCTCCCTTTCCCAGGAGTCAGGTGAGAAGGCCAGTTTTCCTTGTTATTAGGGGACGTGTTGGAATGCAGTTTTTCTTGCTGGTCCCTTTTACTTTCCATCTCTTTACCATCCCTTTGGAAAAAACATTTTAGAGGTTTTGGAATGAACGGTGGAAGTCTGATCTGGAAGAGTTGAGAGAACGTGGCACTTAAAGGAAGTGGACTAACCTTTATTGAGCAACCTAACCTGCCTTTTTGGATAGACCTTTGTAAGCTCTTTCTGGACCACTTGATTGTAGGGCTGAAAACCACGACGGCCATCAACGAATAGCGTTTCACATACCTGCCTCACAGGCTGGTGAGGACTGATGTCAGGGCGGTTGTTCTGTTGAAGGACAGAGGGGTTGTGACCTGGGGAGCCAGTGGTCAAGCTGGGACGTGAGCCATGTTCTTCCCCAGACCTTGCGGCCATCTCCATTCCCTCCTGATGTGCACTGAGAGCCTGCTAATTATTGGGGGGCGGTGTGTGTGTGTGTTTGTGTGTATGCTCACTCTCATGGAGAACTGTGGAGATTTAAATCTATCTGCCCCTGGAGTTGCTCTTCCTTAAAAACTCTCTTGTCCCAAGGGGCCTGGTTTGTGTGCTGGAGAAGGCTCTTGTGTTTGCAGGAATACGGTCCTATCCTGTGGGTATGGGTGACAGCCGCGTTTTCCTAGGCAGCCATAGCGGCCACATCAGCCACCCAGAAACAGGGCTGTGTGTGTGCAAGGCATACTGTTCCACAGAAGGATGAATTGCTAGTGTGTCAGGTTCAGGGTCAAACTGTGTCGATTTGATGAGCGCACCACTTGAACAAGACCTGGTTTGTGAACTTGACTTAAAAAAAAGAGAATATTTAGTAATTATTTATAACAAAAAGAATTTGTTTACACCCTAGGGCTCTTTTAAAATATTTTCTTATCAGAATATTTATATGGTGGACAGGGTGAAATAGAAACTTAGTAAAATATTAGTTCTTATTCCAAGTAGAACATAAATAGGACATGATGATAAAGCACCTCAAATTACAATTTTAACTTTTTAAAAATGGAAATTTTCGTAAATTTTCAGGAACATAGTGAATGTGTAAAATGAGTTACATCTATGTTTTGAAAGTGAGCAATTAATCATGTGCAATTTTTGTGGTTTTAAAAAAATTACCTTATGATATGAGATTAAACACATTTTCTTTTTGAAAATAGGTTTACTTTGGTTAGCACGTTCTGTATTTACTAAGTCATTAGGGTAATTCAGTGTTATAAAGGTTGGTTTCTGCTAGTGAGACAGACCTTGAATAAGTCTTAATTTTGATACTGGTGCCATTTTATTAAAAGTTGAGCAGAACTGTTTCAGAAACACTGGGCCATTTACCTAGAGAACACACCATTGTCTGTAGTCTGAGGTGGTCTGAAATTATTCTTAGTGACTCCATGTTACTGCTTTAGTGAGATTCAGTACAGAAAATAAGCTTGATTTTATAGGGACCAAGGAACCAGTGTTATCCAGGTCAATTTTCTTTCTTTCTGGGTAGTTTAGAATCCCCCATGACAAATACAGGGGGGGATGTGAGGCTGGAGTGGGAAGTGGGAGGCAAAGGCAGCAGCCCTGAACAATTATTTACTGATATAGTTGTATTTATAAAAGAGAGACCAGGTTAAAAAAAACAAAAAACCAGAATGAGGTCCAAGCCATTGCCCCATTAGTATATAGTAAAGTTCTTTAGGTTGAATTTTGATGCCCAATGGAGACACCAGACTGGACTCAGGTGCTTATCCAGAGTTGTGGGTGCTCTTATGAAAGCTCACTGGTGCCCACGGCTCATTGTTCAGCTATTCCTGCATGGCCCTCAGGCTGCTCCTCCCTGCATTTGGATTTAGCGCGCCAGGAGGCTGTAACATTTTGTCAGTTTCTTCTTGGCTCAGGACTCACTTGTGTGTGCTGAGAATACAGGTTAGTCTAACCTGAGGCCTCCTCGGTACGGTCTAGACTGGGTCTGGGCCAAGTAGGCTGTTGAGATAACATGGTCCATAGTTGAAAGGTATTCTTTGTTGTTTTGAATATTCAAGGGCCCTTTCCCCTTTCAGATGAAATGTTTTGAGTCTCTGTGCCCATCTGCTCCAAAAATGTCCTCTAAGACATTTATAAGAAGAAACCAGTGTGCAAGGTCAGGCTGCCATTTTTACATGTTTTGGGTAAACCCCTCAATGTCCATTTTAAAGATTTCATTTTAATAGCACTTTCTTTTAAATATCATCTTTTTGCAGGGTATCCATCCCCTCAAGTGGTCCATGGGCAACTTAAAATTCTCCCAAAGTTATGCAAGGATTTCAGTGTTTTCTGGTCCAGTTTTTAAAAGGAATTAACTAGGGGGAGTAGGATCTGACAACTATAGGCAGGAACTGAGTACTGAAAAACAAAAAACCCACCCAACTCCACTTTATGTGTGATGAGACAGAGATCTACAGCTTTGCTACAAACTCGTGGAAAGATTCCTATCCTCTGTTTTGATACTTATGTGATCATTTAATATGAGAAACTTCTTTTGTGGGAAATGAGTGAGATTTGGGCTTATTTCCAAACACTAGGGTCTAATATGGAGTCATGTAGACAAATTTCAATTAATTACCATGGAATATTCTTAATACAGAGGACATTAGAATAGTGTTCACTCTGGTTCCTCAGAGAGAGCTGGCAGTTCCTACAGAGGACTCATGGGCACTCCCAGGGAGCTGCACAGGGAGTTTTCACATGTTCTAACCACACCTTCCTCTGTCTGGCCTGTCACATGCTCACTGTCCCTACAAAGGAGTCAACCCTAAAATAATTTTGAAGAGATTTTCCCGAAACATTGAGGTGGGAACAGAAGATTATCAGTTGTCAGCCTAGTAACAGATCTGGAGGTTGATCGTATTAAAAACAAAACAGTGCAAAATCAAAAGCTCGGCAGTGAGATTGCCATTATTTGGGTTGTTTCACCTGCTAACTCAGCTAGAAGGGCAATTATTTTAAATTTCAGCAAGAAAGAATCAGTTTGCATTTCTTGGCAGAGCTACATTATATAGTCATAGACATAAGCCAAGTTGAAGCAATTCTAGAATTTTCCAGCATGTGACAATCAAGTTTGGTTGTACTTAAATTTGCTAAGGGACTTGCATATATTGGCATCTTTTCAGGGTGAACCTTCTGTTTCTAGGTCTGTTTTGAAACAAAACATTTTTATTAAGATTTGACACATTTCTTTAAGCCACTAAAAATCTTTAAAAACATAGTAAAAGGTTATGTGAAGGAAATGGTAAAAATACATTGTTTAGTACCTAAAAATAACATTTGAGGAACACTTACTATGTGCCAGACAGTTCTCATGCCTCATCCACCCCAGTTAATCCTCATAGCAATTACTGTTGTCCTCTTTTTCTGGCTGTGGAAACTAGAGAGTATAAGCAAACTGGCTCAAGATCACACAGGGAGTGTCAGAACTAAACATACACAGTCGAAGTTCCAGTGCTGAAAGTAACCGTGCAGTTTAACTAGTTAAAAAGAAAACTAAAGAATATATTTAGACTGCAGAATCCATTTACCAAATGCAATCTGACAAGCATGGCTGCTCTGATTTAAGTGGGCCCACTAGTGGCACCCCCGGCCCCAATTTCTGGAACACTTTTGCAGACATAGAAGTTCAGTCCTATCTTTTATGCATGTGTAAATTAAAGCCCAGAGGGGTAAGCTGACCTGCTCAAGGTCAATAAAACTACACCTGACAGTTTAGACCAGAATTCAAGTCTTCTGTGTGCCAGGCTAGCACTGTTCCTGCTGCAGGACTTGCTTCTGTAAGAGTCTGCTGTTCAAACTGAATTTCAGTGAGAAATGGAGAGATGGCTAAATTACAGTTGCCTTTAGATCCTACCATCGTCTCAGCCTAGACGGGGTCTGCATGAACCTTTACAGAACAGCAGCCATGACAGGTGGACAAAAGGAAGATTTTGTTATTCCAGTCTTCTCATCCGGGGCTCATCAGCTAGTAGCTAGTACTGCCATAACCTACTTCTATCTGTTACTGCTTCCCCCAGGTACAGTTCCTTGGAAGTTTACCCATGTAAAACACATCTTTTAGGCACCGATGCATCCCCGTGGAGTCTGGTTTCCTATAGTGTGAAATACATGCCATTTATTCTCTGTAGCTCTCAAGTTGCTGGAATGTGTGCTCTAGTGGCAGCTCTACAGAAATGCATTCTTTGCGATTTGTGATCTTCTTATAACCCTTTCTGTTGCTTTGGAGTTGAGGATCCTATTAATTTGTGGGCCAGTCACTGGCGATGGTGGTTTTCTTTTATGGGAAGGGCAAGGGCAAGGGCTTGGGCTTGCCCATGCTGGCCCTGAACAGCTCCTGTTAACTGCACAACCTATGCTGCTGCATCTGTTCCTCTAAGTGCTCAACTCTCAGTCCTGTGTACCTCAGAGACTATCGGCTGGATGTCATTTTTTTCAGATGAATGCTTAGTATCATTAGCAGGCTTTTAAATTTGGGCCTTTTTACAACTGAATGTTTGCTGTTGCGTGAAAGAAGATTTTGAGGTCTGCTTTCCGTTCCTCCAGGTACCACTTTTTCTTTGCTGTGTCCCTTTACTGTTAATGGAACTGTTGCAGAAAGAAGTTTAATGTCACATAAGCTAAATAAAGTGTTTTTCATAATTTTGGTTTTAAAAATGTATTTGTTGGGAGTTGAGTGTAAGAATTTTCAGGGATTAAGCTAAGTAGTGTTGCCATTCTATTCTGAATTCTATTCTACTTTAGGTTTGCAGAGCCTTTTAAGAATTTAATAAAAACCACGGACGCTCTTCCTGGAAAAAGGTACATAAAACAAATGCTTGCATCCAATTTCAAGAGAGTTAAGAATCTCTGACTTATGCTGCTGAAGGCTTTTTAAACAGTGCCAATCCAATCTTTAGTCAGCTGATCTCACTGTGATTTAAGACAACAGGTGCTGTGTGCTCCAGTAAAATGCAGCCTACAAATATAAATATATAAATGGGTACATTTTCTGTAATTATCTCATCTGAGTCCATTAGTATTAAACCCTGAGTCAGGGATGGGGAGGAAATCATTCATTGATACTGAGGTTATCTTAATGCCAAGAGTCATTTGAAAATTTCCCTTGAGGGAGGGAATATAAACCCTTAGGACAGTGTAAAGCAGATTCTGGTTAACAAGCCTTTGGACTATACTGAGTTTAGAATGTAGAGAGGCTTCTGGGGGCGGGGTAGGGGGGGAGGGTTTGTCCTGAGAATTGGAATGCATAATTAGGCTTTAAAATGCAAACAGCACTTTCTTTCCAACTTTTACTTGCCAGAGTCCCTTGTAAGTGCAGAAAAGGACTCCACAGTGGTCACCTCCTTTGGTCTGGAAGGAAGAGGTAGAGCTCTGCCAAACTGGAGCAAACACCTTCTAACCAACTTAGTGGCTTAAATGAAAAGTTTGGGTAACATTTTCGCAAATTTTCCTCTGGGATTACTGTAATCCATGAAAAGGGGTGAATTATTTTAAAGAGTTAAAAGACTCTGAAGTTACATGGTAAAAAAGTAACATTTCCTGATCTCTTCTAACAATTTGGTAAAGTGAAATGGATTCTCTTCAACTGGTCCCTTTCTGTAAAGCTGCTTGGTGACCTGCTGCGTCCTGGGGGTGTCTGATCCACAGAAGTTATGGCCTCACCCCTGAAAGTCTGAGTTTCCTGGAGGCTTGTGTTTGGAAGAAGAGGGGACTGAGATTGCTGTGGAGTCAGTGGTGCCTCCCAAGGTGCAGGTTAGGAGTGGTTAACAAGGAAATGGCTCAGAAACTTCTAATCACCCTCTTGGTTTAGGTGAGAGATAGACTGTATGCAAAGCAGGTGACTTTCCCTGTAATGTTTGCTTAACATTGTTATGTTAGTTCTCTCGGGTGAAATGATCCTTTCCCTTGTGACCACCTTCTACACCAGGCTGCCCTCACTGCCCTGGAGGGTCACACTGGGTAACTGTCTTGTATAAAGGGGTAGGTTTCTAGATCTCATATTATTCTGTACAAAGTTAAGTAGAATGTAAAGCTCAGACCTAAAACCAATAAATCCCTCCAAATAGTTAATAATCTCCCAGAGAACAAAAATGATTTTTACATACTATTTAGCTGCTTTGTAATACAATCCAGCACAACAAAAGTATGGCTATTTTTTGTTTTAATGAGAAACATCTGAGTTGTACATATGACAAACAGCTTCAGGTATCTGTACCAACCCCCTTGTGGCCAAACAGTTACAACCTGAAGCAGCACTTTGAATGTGAAAAGTCTTATAAAATTAACTTACAAAAATGTCCCTATCAAGTATGTAGTTTGGCATTTATTGTACATTAGTCAAAAGCTCAAGCTAAAATCTGATTTTCTTAAAAAAATCAAAGTTTACATTCATACAGATTCAGCATTGTTAAAAAATATGCACAAATAACCACATCCATGCAATAGAATTTCTTTAAAATTTTAAAGCAATATAAAAGAGCAGACCTAAGTACTGAACAGAACATTTTGGTTTATAACCTGTAGCTCAAAATTGCTAGCTGATTGGGGTAAATTAATTCTAAACATTTAAAATATAATTGTTTCAATCAATCAGCCAAGGATGCATGTGGGTTTCTGAACCATTTCTAAGGTAGAATCTGCTGGCTTGTTTCTAGAATATATACTATGTGATGAACACTACTGTTCATTTCACCATATTAGCTACATTTTAATAATGTTTTACAAATCAGAATTCACAAAGTGCTTGGCTTTTTAGGAAACTGCAGTTTTCTGAGATCCCAAAACCAGTCAACTAGCTTTGCCAAGCTGCCCAGGTTTCGTGCCTTGGGTCCCAAGAGAGACCTCTGGCCAGGCCCTGAGCGAGGTGTCTGCAGCAGATCCTTGGACCCTGCTACCCCTCAGTCACTCACAGGTTGGTCTGGGGCCAGGAGTCGGGCTCCCGAGTAAACAGGCTGGTGGGGTGGGCTGCTGGCAGGCTGAGCCCTCTATGTTGGGGGTGGCCCGTTGGTGTACCTCAGCATGGGGTAGAAGGACCTGGCGAAGTTGTTGGCCTGAGTGCAGCTGTAGTCCTCTTCTGAGGAGGGCAGCAGGCAGGCCAGGAGGAGCAGCAGCAGGAGGAGCAGCTGTAGGGGCAGTGCCGCCCTGATCACCCGGGAGAGGAAGGAGCGCTGCGGCCTTGAGCTGCCTGGGTCAGCAGGGCCAGGCACCCTGTCAACAGAGAAGGTTGAGAGTTCTTCAGGAGGTTCCAGAGGCAAAACCCACTCATGTTACCTGACCCCTGCTTACGTAAGTAAGACACCCAGGACCTGAGATTAAAATGGTGCCAGGTTTAGAAGAGAAGCCTAGCGCTTTCCAGACTAAAGAAAACCGGGTTTTTACAAAGCACTTGATGGTGGCATTGGCAAGACTGGTGAGGTGAGGAGGTGGAACAGGAGTTCAGTGCTGTGACTGCAGGGCTCGTACCTGTTGTCTAAATTGTTCTTGCCTTTCGTGGTTCTCTCTGCTCCAGACTGCTGCATAAAAACAATCCAATTAGTGAGTTGAATATAGTTTAGTTCTGTCTATGATGAAACATCCTTCCTTAGGTAGGCTTCCTGACAAGTTTTTGAGATTGGAGTAATACATTTGGTATTAAACTCTGAGGTAAGAAAGAGTTGCATTTGTTGATCTGTTGTTAATGAAGATCGGGAAGCCTTTTCAATGCTAGAAGGGCTCCCGTCTTTCACAACCTGCTACAGTCCCAAAGAGAATCTTCTGAGTTAGGTCTTTACAAGTGTATTTGAGTAAGCCTTTCCCCACTGACTAGCAGATTGAAGCCATGCGTCGTATCATGAGTTATCTAGTGGGGCCTTGGAGTCTCCAGTTCCTGTCCTCTCAGTGACTCTGAAAACTAACCACTGCGGTTCTCACAGCAGGGAGGGCTCTCACCTTTGCCTGGGGAGCTGGCTCAAATGCTGCTGGAGGCCAGTCTCCAGCATCCACATCATCCAAGCTGGGCAGAGACGGGTCTGGGATCTGAAATCCATACCCCAAGAGTTCATTCAGTTCAGGGAAACAGAGCAAAAATGTGCTTCATGCAGATTCTTCATCGAGCCACCCTCCCCCAGCTCAGATCTTTCAGAAGAGGGGGTCTTCTATTGCTTACTCCCCACTCTAACAGGGACATTTTCAGACCAAAGGGAATGTAAACAAGGCCAACCTCTTGCATTAAAAACCCACAGACACACTGGGGGAGACTGAGTTCAGCAGGAGCAAGAGGGACAGAAATAGTTGGCAATGAGCTCACGGGAATTGTTGATGGGATCAGTTGGCCAGTGAGACAATAGGAAATGTATTCTCTAGAATGGAGGGGGCATGGTTTGGGTATTTATTTGTTCTGAGTTGCAACATAAAGAGCAGAAAGCAGACAAACAAGAGAAGGACCAGGACAGAGGAGAGGACTTGAAAACATGGCCACTCGAGTGTCTTTAACATGAAGGCAAGACAGAAATGACAGGAGTAGTAGTATGGCTGGGTTATTAAAAACAACTCTAACAAGAAGGTACTCTTGTTATATCCCTCTTACAAATGATAAAACAGCCCAAAGAGCTTACGTAACTTTTTAAGGCCACAGCTAGGGAGAGTATCACTAGAGACGCCACTCCCATGGCACGTTTGTGGCCTCTCTCCCACAGCACCGCTGCAACACTGCCTTCCTGTTTGCATCTAATGTGACAACTTTAAAAGCCACAGGGGACTCACCTGGCTTCCCTGCAAGGACATTAAGTCGTGGGACACTTGCTCCAGTAACTGTGAGAGTTTCTTCTCGATGACGTGTACCTTCTCTTCTGCCTCAATGTAGTCTTCTCCATGCCCCTTAATAAGAAGGCTGTCTGAAATCTCTTGTAAGGAGTTTACTTGAGGCTGACGTTCTACTAGCTCCTTTTCCAGTTGCTAAGGACAGAAGAGAGTGAAACAGTTTGCTTGTGCGAAGGGGAGCTGGTGTGCAGGGTGAGGCTTTCTCATTCACCAGGGATGAACGATGGCTGGTGCTCATTCCAGAGCTGTCCGCTCCTCCCACCTGTGTCCACAAGCCCCGCATCCTTAGATAGCAACTGGTTACACCCTACCCCTACTTTATTCCTTCTCATTCTGGAGACGGCTGTGTTGCTGGAGGAGTCAGAGGAAAGCAGTGAGGGAACACAGGGCCCTTATCCACTAATGGCAGCAGGTCAAGGGAAAATCTAAAGTGGACTAATTGAGAAAAAGCAGCTTACGCATACTATTTAGAAATAGAGAGGGAGTCATCTTGCTTGCTGTCGAATGTGGTAGCCACTAGACAACATGTGGCTGTTTTAAGTTTACACTGATTAAAATGAAAAGTTCATATTCAGTCACAGCAGCTACATTTCAGGTGCTTGGCAGCTCTCATACCGGGCAGAGCACATACAAAACATTCTGTCGCCACAGGAAGTTTTATGGGACAGTGCTACCCTGGAGGGTGTGGCTTTACAAAGGTTTTAGCACAAAAGTGTTTTTTAAACAACGACCAGTACTGTGATTAAATTTAAAATATTTAAAGTTAAACCACATATAGATATGTGGATAAAAATGTCAACTTGAGTAAAAGTGAAGTCTCATGTTAACTTGTGAGTGAAATAAGTATATGGAGACACAAGTGACCTCCAAGAAGTAAGACTTTTCTATAGTGGGTATAGAAAGCTCATACATGTGGACAATTGAGCGTCTTATTTCCCCCAAAATGAGCCATATTCACCAGGGAACAAATACTTCAAATGGCCTTAAGTGTCTCAGGATATTGCTAAACACCACTGTCCCCGAGTCTTGAAGACTTCCTGCTCTTGGCCATGCTCTTCCTCCCTGCAGCCCACCCTGCTTCACAACCACTAAGGGATGCTCAGTAGACACCCAGTGGCACTGCTGTTTCCAGAAGCACTAGGTGAGGCTACCTACATACTGACTCCTGACAGGCTAGGGTAGTGCAGACTCCTCCAGAAGACTTACCATGAGCTGTCCCCGACTCTCCAGGAGAGCCTGGGGGTCTGCCTTGGGGTCAGTGACATGAGCCTTCTGCCTCCGGCTCTCAGCGCTCGCCAACCACAGTAACAGATTTTGACTCAACTGGTGGAAGTCCTTAAAAAACAACGCACATCATAGCACTGACTTTTCGTAAACTACGAAGTAAGGTGTGCTGGCTGTTTCTAGCCCGTCGGAGCCATCTGCCCTTCTTATCCAGTGAATAAAAGGGCCCTGAAGGGAGGGGAAGGAGAGCACCTGGCACAGCCCCAGGAGGCCTGACAAATTTTGTCAAGTGAACAGTGCTGGGGCTTCAGAATGCCCCACCTGCCATGACAGAGGAAGACCACACAAATTACTTGACAAATGTGCTGGGTTCAGTGGCTAAAGGAGACAACCCAATAGAGACAGGCTGTGGCCTAAGGACAGGGCTGCATGTGGGCTTACGGGTGGCTCATGTTCCCTAAGATGGGGTAAGCAGTAACACGGGCTGAGCATTTACTACGTGTCAGGTGCTGGGCTAAGATTACAAAGCATGTAGTCCTAAAAAGACCCTGTGAGGAAGACACTAAAGTTTTCCCCATTTTTCAGATGAGAAAACTGAGGTCCAGAAGTTTCAATGATTTGCCCAAAGACCCACAGCTNAGTTCCTGAGTCTTGAAGACTTCCTGCTCTTGGCCATGCTCTTCCTCCCTGCAGCCCACCCTGCTTCACAACCACTAAGGGATGCTCAGTAGACACCCAGTGGCACTGCTGTTTCCAGAAGCACTAGGTGAGGCTACCTACATACTGACTCCTGACAGGCTAGGGTAGTGCAGACTCCTCCAGAAGACTTACCATGAGCTGTCCCCGACTCTCCAGGAGAGCCTGGGGGTCTGCCTTGGGGTCAGTGACATGAGCCTTCTGCCTCCGGCTCTCAGCGCTCGCCAACCACAGTAACAGATTTTGACTCAACTGGTGGAAGTCCTTAAAAAACAACGCACATCATAGCACTGACTTTTCGTAAACTACGAAGTAAGGTGTGCTGGCTGTTTCTAGCCCGTCGGAGCCATCTGCCCTTCTTATCCAGTGAATAAAAGGGCCCTGAAGGGAGGGGAAGGAGAGCACCTGGCACAGCCCCAGGAGGCCTGACAAATTTTGTCAAGTGAACAGTGCTGGGGCTTCAGAATGCCCCACCTGCCATGACAGAGGAAGACCACACAAATTACTTGACAAATGTGCTGGGTTCAGTGGCTAAAGGAGACAACCCAATAGAGACAGGCTGTGGCCTAAGGACAGGGCTGCATGTGGGCTTACGGGTGGCTCATGTTCCCTAAGATGGGGTAAGCAGTAACACGGGCTGAGCATTTACTACGTGTCAGGTGCTGGGCTAAGATTACAAAGCATGTAGTCCTAAAAAGACCCTGTGAGGAAGACACTAAAGTTTTCCCCATTTTTCAGATGAGAAAACTGAGGTCCAGAAGTTTCAATGATTTGCCCAAAGACCCACAGCTGCAGAGCAGGTTAAACTGCTCCTTGTTCCAGGGCCAGGTGTCTTAATTACCCTGCTATGCAGCCTTCCTGGCAAAAAGACAGAGATGGGGCAATGCTGGAGTGGCATTTCTGACCACTGGAATGCTTGCTGGAACCCTCACACTATGAGTGGGCCTGGGCAACAGAGCAGGAGATACAGGGCAAGCGTCAGGCCTCTCAGACAGCAGGTGGGCCTCTTTGGAAACAAATGGCAACGCACACGTTTCCCAACACAAGCCATATCTGGCTGCACCAAAACAGCCCAAGCGTGATACAAATACCCGCTCCTCCCACCCACGTGGGCCTTGGGCGCGGGCTGTGGGTGGCGTACCTGGCACTGCATGAGTGACTGCCGCAAGCCCTCTCTCCAGCTCTCCACCGCACCCTGCGCCGCGTCCCAGTGCAGCCTCAGCTGGCCGACTCTCTCATGGAGCTCTTTGGATTCGCTGCTCCCGGTCTGCGGAAACTCCTTGCTGCTGACATTGACGGAGCCCACCAAAGCCTTGTAGGTGTCAAAGGCTTTTAATATCTCCTACAGCAGAAGAGAAGATTGGGTGAGGCACTCTGAAGACAGTGGTGTAGGGTTCATTTTGAACCTCTGTGGGAACAGGTTCTCCAAACACTTTTCCAAGCTGAGGCCACTGAAACAAGAGTGACCTCGTGACTGGCTGGGAAGCGTCAGGGGAGGGAGCTGCCTTACAAGGTCAGTGAACTTGGCTGCCGGGCTGAGCAGAGGCCTGTCTCCTGGCTGGCCAGCTTAACCGGAGGCCAACTCAACCGGACCCCGCCGAGCTGTGGTTGGCTTCATAACATTTCTGGACCAGATTAAAAGTCTTCCAGATAAAGCACACTTACTTCGCCTGCATTTGCCTCTCGGTATGACAGAAGTGCTATTCCTTAGGATGAACGGTTACCCTGATATACTGATGCACAGGTAAAACAACAGTACAAATATGAAGGCTGCCTGCCCTGGGTCCTCTTAAGAGCACAGGCTCATGCTCAGGGCACCCCAAAGTGAAAGGCTCTAACTGCCCCTCCCTGGTCCCTGGCCAGGCATTCCAGTGGGGTGAAGGCTCACTGTGCGGGTGACAAATCCTAACCATGTAGTAGAGTCACCAGATCGGGCCACGGAATTCATCAGTAGCTGGTCCTCCACCCTCAATGCTGCACACCAGTCTGGACGGCACAGTCTAGACGGGTGTTTTTAAGCTGCCTCTCAGTGCCCACTGGCACCCCCATAAGAGCCTACAGGTGGCTCTGAAATCAGATCTTCCCAGCACTGGGCTGGGCTTTGGGACCATTTGTAGATGCTCTTCTGAATGAAAACAAAGACCTGAGTCTGTGTCCCTCCAGTTACAGAAGTGAAATAGAAGAGAGTGGTGGCTGAGACTACACAACATCGCAACCTGCCACCTACCCCACTAACAGACTCGGTCTGTCTGCTGAGCACTCTGTATTCCTCTGCCTTGCCCTCTGACTCACCTTCAGTCTCTTCACCCTGAGTTCCAGTCCCTGGACATCAGAGGGAGGCTCTGCCATCTTTAATGTTTCTAGCTCCGCTTCAGTGTCTTTCAGCCAGGTGGTGATGTCGCTGATATCAGAGTTCAGCTGCTGCAAGTCTTGTTTTATTCTGAGTTTCTTGTGAAGTTCTTGTGCTTGAGCCAGCTCCCACCCGTCAAAGGCACCTGGAATAAAAAGCAGCAATCATGCAGACAGACTTCTCCGCCTCCACCCAATCCAGGGTTAGGGTGATAAGACCTGTGAGGGGTGCTCTCTGCCAGAGGCTCAGCACTGGGGAGTCATCACTTTCCTGGTGTGGGTGGCAGGTTTCCCTCGCTCTGGGGTTCAAGGCCAGTACCACCACACTCCCACCGAGCTAGAGTGAGGCGCTAGCTGGGTAGGAGACCCAGCACGTGGCCAGCATGCATGCTGGTCCCAAGCTCAGCACTGCAATTCATGCTGCTGTTAGGGCACTTTCTCCTTTGGTCTGTGAATGATCAGGTCAGGGCTGTCAGCTTGACTTTAGACTGAGTTGAGTATTTTTATAATCATCGAATTGTTCTTGTGGGGAGACACCTGACACAACTCTTTGAAAATCATCTTCCTGTGCCTGATCTTCACGTACACGAAGTCACTAAATCATACACTTCATCACCTGAGGCCCATTTTGTCTACATCTAGAGAAGAGTTCTGAAGGTAAAGCGAGCAGCCCAAGAATGTGTTCATAAATACATAAATTCAGCTAATTCTGAAATAACCTGGCTGCTGCAGGGGAAGTGTAGCAGTTCTGCTGAATTCTATAGTTGGGCAATTGCTAATTAACATTTTGTCGAGCCGTGACTTAAATCCCTGACTAACCTCAATGTACACTCGAACCCTCCTCAGACTGCCTGCCTTGACTGTACCTGACTGCTGCCCGGGGAGGGACGCCGGCCCCTCGTCCTCCGGCTGCGGGCTGCCATTCAGGACGCTCGGGCCTTCTTTGCCACCATTGGTACCTGGAGACAACAGCAGCTTCACCTAGAACGAGCCAATTCTATGTTACCATCTATACATTTAAAAGGCTGAAGAGCATCTTGGTTCATGTTACCAGGTATGAGATGAGGACATGGAGCCCTTTCCTCCCAAGGGCAACCTGCTGGAAATATAAGAGCTTTCGTGTGTGGGCAGCACCGACGAGCAAGCAGCGCTGAGGGCGGAACTAAGCCTCAGCAGAGGCCCAGAGAGGGGATAAAAAGACCGGATTTCACTTGAGGCTTCCTAACACTCCCCGAAGGAACCACGCAGAAGAGTTAAAACAGTTGTTGAGCTTATCAGACAGTTGCTGTGTTAGCGCTTTTATATTTGTACAGTGTTTTTAAAGCTTTGGTTATTCCTCTGAGCCACTCTGTAGAGCTGGTGGCATCACTGTCACCAGGAATCGGAACAATACAGAGGACAAACCTGCCTCCTAGGGCTGTTCGTTACCAAGTGTTTATCTTCCGCTGTTCTTCTGTCCTTCCCAAAAATAAATGTACCCTTTTTAGAAAAGCCATGATTTCTTTGGATTGTGTCCATATGGTCTCTTTGTGTAGAATGAAAATATAAAAAACCTTCAGATTTGTGGTGACGTGCCTGGTTTCAGACAGCAAAACAGCCGGCATATGAGGAACACAAGCATAGTCACTGGAACTGTGGGTGTAAAGCAAAGGCGAGATGCTGGGGTCTCTCTCCCTCAGACCATGAGGCCTTATTCTGCACAGAGGGACAGATTACAAATGACAACTGCTTGCTAAGCAAGAGTTTCTGAACTGGGCATGGACAGTCCATTATTAAACGACTCCGATCTGACCATGCGCAGTCAGGGATCTTCTCTAATTATTGAGCACTATTCACTGCTACACACAGAAGGCACTCTGAGGACTCATCCAGTGATGCTGACATTGCTTCTGGTTTTTCTAAGAGATAAGACTAAAAATGCACAAGACATTCCAATTTCAACTCATTGCTATTTCTCTGTACTGAGAACGCTCTGGGGCCAACATTAAATCCTAGGCTGGCTGCCCCCCAACAGCTGCGTAGCCAGAGGCGTGCCAAGGGCTCATGTTGCCGAGGGAAATTCAACTAAGGAGGAAGAGTCACTGTTAAAAATAACAACAGACCATATACAGAGTAGTAGTAGTAATAATGATGGCAGCCACTTCTGAGGCCTTCTTCAGAACTTCATACACACCAATCCTAACGACGACAATGTTGTAAGGTATGTTTATCCTCAGGTGAGGAAGGTCTCACAGAGGCAGACAAACTGCTTATGGATCCAGAGCAATTACTGACAGGGCTAGGAACCAAACCCACGTCTACCACAGCTCATGGTCAAATCATACGGGATAGGAAATCGTAATTTTTGAATAGGATGTGTGGTCAGAAGGTAAATATAACAAAGGTTCGGGAGCTCCAGTGTAGCTCAGGAAGCCTGCTTCTCCATTATTTGCATGGAAGACTGACTCAAAGGTAATAATCAGTGTTGTATCACGTCCACACACGCAAGGATGGATTCTGGCCAGAAACATATTTTTAACTTGGGCCAGTTTTTCCAGGGTTCTAATGAAGTATGGACAGCTCGGCGGAGATGCTGCCAACGGGGGAAAACCAACTCAAAATGCGCCCGAGCAGTAAGCACGCACACTGTACACCAAGATCCCTGTCTTGAAAAAATTCTATTTTACTCAATCACTTGGGTGAAATAAGTCCAGAGAAAGACAAGTACTGTATGATTTCACTTATATGTAGACTCTAATGGACAAAATTGACAAACACAATAGATATAGACTCATAGATAAAACAGACCGACAACTGTCGGGGGGCGGGTGGAGCTGGGTGAAAAAACAAAACAAAAGACCCCACCCTCATACACACAACAGTATGGTGAGCACCAAAGGGAAACGGGGGTGGGAGAGGTAGAAGAGTAAAGGGGATAAATGAAAGGAGATTTGACTTGGGGTGGTAAACACACAATACAATATACAGATGATGTAGTAAAGGATTGTACACCTGAAACCAATATAATTTTATTAACCAGTGTCACCCAATAAATTTAATTTTAAAAAATTAAATGAAGACTTACATAGGCTGGTTTATAAGGGGTGCTGGAATCTGAAGGGATGGGCTGCACATTCCTATCACCTCCCATTTGTTTGTAGCGATGCTTGGGACAGGAAGGGCTGTCAGGAATGTGCCACGAGTGGCCCTCAGAAATGGATTTACCTGAAACAAAAAATAGCAAGTGACAGTCCATTCTCTTCAACCAATGGACTCATGTTTAGTTACACAAAAATGGTTATGGGTAACATGGCATCAGGTTACAGTGTAACATGAGTTCGGCAGCTTTCCTTGCAAAGCATGCACGTTTGCAAAATGTCAGTATGTCCCAGAAGGGAATGAAATGAGTCATGCAACTGAGCAACACTGGGCCTTCACTAGATGGGTTCACCATGGAGCACAACGAACATGTGACTGGCTGCAGGATGAGTGGCATGTTGGAGCCGGGGTCTCTAGTGGTGGGGACAGTGGCAGCAAGCTGGGTCTGGGGGCCAAGAGGACTGCAGGCCTTTCAGGAGGGAGGGGAAGAGTAAACGTTAGGATGGACTTGGGAGCCAAAGGGCGGCTCGTGGCTGACCCCACGGCGGCAGAGGGGGGAGGCGGGGAAGAGAGATTAGAGCTGCAAGTCAAGGACAGGAAGGTTTCTTCTGTGACAAACGCAACAGTACCTCTACCCTCACCTACCCACTCACCCACCCTCTTCCCGGGAAACCACTGTAAGCAGGGAATAGTTCCAAACCAAGCCCCCCTGAGGAAAGCTTGGCCCATGCCAAAGGACTCGAGTTAGACGGCGGGAAGATAAAACTTAAGGCGGCGGGGCGGAGGGCTCCCTTCTGCGCAGGCCCGGGGGGGGAGGGGCGGAGGCGAGGCCGCCCTGGCCCGGCGGGGCCTCTGCGAGCGCAGGTGTGTGAGTGCGCGTGTGCATACACCATGCCACGAGGCCATGGTGTCACGGAAGGCAGAGGTCAGACACGACACAGGAGCGAGGCTTAGGATGCAGTGTGCGCCACGGGGTGCTGCCACGTTGAGACACATGCACGGGCAGGGGCCTACCAGAAGATGCTTTCAAAGTTTTTGTGGTCATTTTAAGATATGCCTCAGGATTTTCAGGGATTTCTACATCTGAAAAAGAATAATGTCATTTCCTCACTGCAGGAATGCCCCAGCATTTGGTTAAAACAGTAGAAACATTGTCAGCTGGAAGGAGAAAGGTAACTACCCTTTACCTGTTTTTATTAAAAAGCTTTAAAAAAAAAAACAAACCAGAAGGATTTTTTCAGCCAACTCCCAACTGTCCAAAGCAGTGGCGGGGGAGGTGAAGTGCACAGAAAGAATGAAAACACTCCGTCTACGGATACTCTGGGAAACTCGACTGAAAAGCTCGCTGATGAGCCAGAGCGGAGCCACCAGCGAATAGCCTTAGTGGCCCAACGTGAATTTTCATCGTTTCCCTTTCGTCCCACCTGTAATAGGAGGGCGCCAACTCTCAGGTAAGTCAGGGTGGGCAGGACGGAACACGGGAAGCCACAGGAAGTCTGGGTCAGCCATAAGCTGGACTCGGATCGAGAGTTGGCCACGTTGCTAAGGTGCTCAGGACAGCCAAGTGGGTCAGTTTCAAGGGCTCCGGAACCCCAGGCCTGTTACCTGACAGCGCACTGTAGTATGGGCCCTCCTCGTCTTCCTCGTGAGAGGACGAGCCCCCCACGTCACCCGTGTGATCCCACTCCAGGGGGATGGAGTCCACGCTGACGGGGGTCTCGCAGCCAGACCGCTCGGGGCCCAGGGCCGGGGGCACCAGATGACACAGGGACTGAGGAGACGAGGGCTCCTCCATCTCTCTCCTTTTACGCCAGGAGTCAGTCTGGATCTCTCTGGGGTCTTCCATGTCCGGTTCATTCTCGGAGGCCTCCCTTTCATCTTCCAAGCCCTACAAAGGGAGTGTCCAGTTTTCAGAATTAGCCCAGTCACGGGCTGCTGTGGTTATGAGGGGCATTAGAAGCCTGCCCGCCAGCAGTTCCTGAGAGTGGCCACCAGCGTCCAGGGCCGGTTATTCCCATTTAGACTCTACATCCAGTGTGGGGCCTGGGACTTGTATTTTGCAAAACTCCATTTTATTTCCTGGGAAACATCTTAAATTTGATCATCTAAGTTACACAACTTTATCTAGAAAAGAAATGGAGGCCAACGTTCTTTTTGGGGGGGAGGCTATCGTTTCTTGATGGTTAATACAGGTTCCTCCAAGAATCAGAAAGTTAAAAATTTAAAAAAATTTAAGGCACTTCGTGTTCTGAGTAAGATTCACACATTCAAGGACCACACGTGCCAGGTTCTTTCTTTTCATCCTGGCTTATTGTTCAGGATACAGAATCTGGTTCCCTGTGTTATCATGACTCCAAGAAAAACAAACATAAATTGCTATCCTAAAAACAAGAGTAATGGAGGTTATTTTTGAGGCTCTGTGTGATGAAGAAATTAAGTTTGAAGTTGGGCAGTCAAAGACCCAAAAAAGAAAAGGCAGCCAGTTGTGCTGGTTGGTGGTCCTCATTAAAGCTGGGCACACAGAGGCAGACAACTCTGAAAATGGCCTAACTCCACCTGAATGTCCCCAAAGGCCCCTCTGCCAAGGGAAACATCACAGATGCTTTCAAAAGCTGGTGCTCTCGGCACTTCAGTGGTGAGAACGAAGCACCGGAAAGGCACAGATGTTAAGAGCTCCCAGGCACGGAGATAGAGGAAAAGGCCAGTACACCCCCAAGTTAACACCGCAAGCAAAACCAGAACAGTTATAAAAATATCCTAGGGGTCCTGACACAGGCCAGAAGGAGCCTGCACTGTGGAGCATCTGGGGAAAGTGTAAAAGGGGCAGACTTTTCAGAAGTGCCGTCCTTTCCATTGGGAAATGGGAGCTTCTAAGTAACTGTGGCTCTATATTAATAAGCGGAAATAAAATTTTACAACATAGCTTTTTTAAAAAAAATAAATCATTATTAACCATCCCATGATAAGTCTGGACAAACACCAAGCCTGAGTGGCCCAGAAGCCCCCGCGGGGGGCGCCCCCCTTACCGGCGCGTGGGACGTCAGCCGCCGGTGGAACCGGGAGACCCTGCCGAAGACCTCCTGGCAGTAGCGGTGGAGTTCCTCCAGCTCGTCTTCGATCAGCACGGCGTCGAGGGGCTCACTCTTCTGAATCAGCTGCTCCCCGAAAACGATGAGCTGATCAATCTTGTTGGTATTTAACGTAATTTCCTGTTGGAAACCCTACGTAGAATACCAGAAAGGATTTCAAAGAAAGAAATTTCCCCGAGGACTCAGACGTCTGTTTCTTATAACAAGGCCCAGAAAAAGCATCTAAATGTCATTACTGTTTTGTTCCTTCACCTAGTACTCTAGCTTCATCATTTTTAACAAGGTGATGAAGATTTAATAATTTAAAATGACTGTACGTATGTTTTCCTCCCCCTTCTGGGCACTGACTTTTCCAATGTAAATGATTCTCAAAGTCTGACGTGGCCGGCCAGGTACTGTTATTGGGTGTGAAGGAGAGAACTTGTCTTTTTGACACTTGGAGACAAAATTTCCCATAGTAAGTTACCAACGGGCATTTGCTTCTGTTGGCACAATAATGCTCATTATTGCCATTATATTGGGGCAGAAAATTTCCATTCTCAACTTCCTGTAAAATCTAGGGAGTGATGCAAGATTAAAGTGAACTATAGGTTAGTGGTAACAGTGGGAGCGGAGGCGGTATCTGTTCTCGGCCCCACCCCCGATAGTTTCCCAGACACCGCACATGCCCCTCAGCCCTGAGTGCTGCAGAAACAGCATCTCATGACCTCTGTTTGGAACCTAAGGGTGTCCTCTCCTTGGGTGATTATAAATGACAAAGAGAGAAAAGGGCCTTGTTCCAGGTATCCCTTGGCTGCAGGGAACAGTATCCTTGCTCGTGATAAGCCGGCTGAGCACAGGTGGACACGGCCTGGCTGCTTTAACAGCTCTGGAATCTGCTCTGAGGGTGTCGGGTGAAATCTGTTCTTGGCCTGCTCTCCTCTGCGAAGGTGCATTCCTTTCAGAGGCGCCGAGGGAGAAAGCCTCACGTTCAGCTGGCGCATCTTGTCGTCGGCGTCGCTCTCGGAGAAGTGCTCCACGTTGGTCAGCTGCAGGTCCATCTCGGTCAGCCACACCAGGATGCTCTCCCTGGTGCCCTCGAACTCTTCCCTTTGGTTGGTGAAATGCTGCAGAAGGGGGAGAAGCCACATTGGTGTTGATGGCACAACAGGAGTTCAGGTCGACAGCAAGGCCACTTCTGGCTGAAGGGAGAGGGCGCCTGGAGCACTCAGACAGAAGCCTGTCTGCGGGTACCCCGGGGGCCCACAGGGCATTCAGGGGCCAGTGTGACACCAAACAAGCTCCCCAACATCTGAGTCTTGGCATCTTCCCCAGCAAGCAGGGGTACGGGAACACAGGCTATGAGCATTAAAGTCCTTTCAGCATTTAAAATCCTCTAATTCTCTAGTCTAGGTAGATTTTTCCTGTCCCCTAAGGAACCCCGTCAAAGTCCAAGCCTGGCACCGTGCCCGTTTTTGCCCAATAGCCATCTGTGGACGCTTTTGCTCATTAAAAGAAGAATTTAGTAGCTTTAAGATGGAAAATGACTGGCTCTCAGGGTTGAGCCGGGACCAGCCCCATATGCTGTCACTGATCTAATCCTGATGTTGCCTGAGAGGACCCCAATGAGGAGTCGTCACCTCCTGTGAGGGTTCCTCTCGGGGTACCACGTCAGAGGCGGGCGACAGACTCCCAAACAACTATGGCATTCAGCGCCAAGTGAGGGTTACACTGTCACAGTCAGTTCAGCAGGAGAGACCGTAACGCAAGGCGGTTATCTGAAAAGCTAGCCAGTGTCTTCCTGAGAGGGTTAAAAACCCCGAAGCCCAGATTTCCTTTCTTTAGAACGGTTTCAAGAGCGTTTTGCCCTGAGAACAGAAGGGACTGAAACGAATTCCTGCAGACACAGGTCCTGGCAGTTTACACCTGGATCCGAAGGGGGAGGGGGAGACAACACGTCTTCTGAATTATAGAAATCTCAGGTGAATGTTTACGTAAAAAACCAAACGCAACCTCACAGGATGGCCGGGGTGCTCTGAAATTCAGAGAATCGCTGTCCCCAACCTGCACAGACAGTGCAGAGGGGCTCTGTCCACGCCCCTATGCTGCCAGAGCCAGTGGGGGCAGAGCGGGCCTCCTTCCAGGTCGGGGCCGAGCCCAGGGACGGCAGTGCCCGCCCCGCCCGCCTGCGAGCGAGCGTGCCACCTTCAGGGTCACACAGGCGAAGGGGTGTTTGTAACACAGGTCACACACACAAGCCCTGCCCAAGAAGCCCGTTCTCAGGCAAGAGGCCGCTTTAAAAAAACAAAACCTGGCAGCTTTGGGCTTGAACAAAAGGGAAGGACGTTAGACAGCGTGGGCCTCCCGTGAAATCCACCCGCCGCCCTGTGACAAGCCTGGCATCGCGCGTCCCTCCTCCCGAGATCCGCACAGCCGGGGCTGAGTTACTCTGAGTCTGCGCAGGATGGCCGCGACCCGCTTCTGGAGGCCGTCCCAGCGCTGGTTGCCCTCGTGCACCATCTGCTTCAGCCGGCTGGCCGTGTCCGTGCGGTTTTCCCGGGCCAGCCGCCGGTACTGCTTGTTGACGAGCTCCAGCTGCGTGAGCCGCTCGTGCACCTGCCGCTGAAAGGCCTGCGGCACACAGAGCAGAGTCCCTCAGGGCACCCCTCCCGGACCCCGAACGGCCGCCGCACGCGGCTGACCCCCAAACTAACACGGCAATGGGGGGCCCACTCCACCTGCTCCCGTGACACTAAAGGACAGGCCTTCAGCCCTGGCCGGTGGCTCAGTGGTTAGAGCGTCGCCCTGTAGACCAAAGGGTGGCAGGTTCAATTCCCAGTCAGGGGTGCACATCTCAGTCGCAGGCTCGATCCCAGCCTGGTGGGGGCACCTGCGGGAGGCAGCCAATCACAGGGTCTCTCTCACACTGATGTCTCTCTCTCACTGCCCCCCCTCCACTCCCTCTAAAAGCAATGGAAAAATAGGATTAAAAGTAATAACAAGACTTCATGCTTACAGCATGTGGACGGCATAAGTCGGTAAAGATGCCTGGCTGGTGTGGCTCAGTGGCTGAGCATCGACCTAGGATCCAGGAGATCGAGGTTCGATTCCCGGTCAGGGCACATGCCCGGGTTGCGGGCTCGATCCCCAGTCGGGGGCGTGCGGGAGGCAGCCGATCAATGCTTCTCTCATCATTGATGTTTCTCTCTCTCTCCCCCTCTCACTTTCTCTCTCTGAAATCAATAAAGACATTTTAAATAAATAAATAAATATAAATGGGTAACGCTCTGCAGAGCTCTCTTAGCAGCTGAGGGGGGTTGTGGATGGGGCCCTGCGCAGCTGCGGGGGAGGCCACCCGGAGAGGAAGTCATTCCAGCTGCCCCCGAGCCTGCCGCAGGCCTGGTCACCAGGAGCACCGGCTGGAGAGGGTCTTTACCTCAAACCTCTTCAGCTCTTCTTTGGCAACTGTGTACAGCACCTCTGAGGAATTGGGGAAGGCTGCGGTCTTCTCGGCAGACTTGAGCCAGTCTTCAAAGCGGGAGTAATCATCTAAAAACTTCTGCCACAGGCGCCAGGTCTCCTCAATTCTGCCGGCAAGAAGGCAACTTAGTACAAGTTGTTATATCCATTTCACAGAGCTTTCGTAAGTTTTCTTTCTCTTGCCTGGTCCCATTACCTGCCCCTGCCCCCTCCCCCCACAAGCACTGGATCTTCTCAGGTAGAAAGACCCTACAACCCCCTCCAGGACATACCCAGGGACACTGCTTCTAGGTGAGGACACCTTCCTTCTAGGAGCACCAAGCTCCTCAGAGCTCCTGTTTCAGAAGCCAACCAACAAGACAGGGCTCCTCCCTGCCTCCTGCTGGGGACACAGCGCCAGCCACGGTTACACCCGAGGCACACGAAAGCTGGGGAAAGATGTTACCCCGATGATGTCTCCTGACCGCTTTCTTTAACAAGCACTGTTACACCCACTGAGCTTCTCTACCCACAGCCTTTGAGGGGAGTAGACGCTGGTATTCTCATTTAGGCCAGAGGCGCAGACTCTGGCTGACCACGCCCCAGACACTCAGGGGCAGCTTGGCGCTCACTTCATCCGCCGCTCCATGGACATGGCGCATATGTTCCTCCAGCGCCGGTCCAGGCTGCGGGTGGTCTGCTGGATGGAGTCACACTCGGTCTCGTTGGCACAGGCGTCCGAGTCGTGCAGCAGGACATCGCAGATGCTAAACACGGACTCCACCCCTGCACTGTGCTGCTCAATGTCTCGCTGCAGGTCCTACAGGGACAGTGGAGCAAGAAGCACCTTGAGATGGTGGTGGTGGTAGGAGGGTTGGCATCAAAGGGTCTCCACCCCTCCCTCCCCATCTCCCAGCCCAGGGGCGCAGTCCCGGGAGCATTTCCACCGTGGAAGCAGCAACAGACTGGGTCTCTCTCATCTCTGTACCACCTTGTGCTGTAGCCCCCGACAAAAAACCTAAGCACGGCAACAACTGGGATTGATCTGTTGATCTATGTGAAGGGTGAGGGAGCAGGGGACCCTCCCCTGAGAGGGTCGTGCGAGGACCAGCTTTACAATTAGGTTTACATGGGATTCTTGCTCGTTCAGAGTTGTCACGACTTTCCCGCCATTTACCCACATTGATAAAAATCTCCTTTAACTGGGTTGAAATAATAAATAAGGAATCCTGCCCTGGCTGGGTGGCTCAGTTGGTTGGAGCGTAGTCCTGTACACCAAAAGGTCGCGAGTTCAATTCCCAGGCAGGGCACATGCCCGAGTTTCAGGTTCAATCCCTGGTCAGGGTGCATGCGGGAGGCAATGGATTTATGTTTTTCTCTCACATCAATCTCTCTCTCTCTCCCCCCTTCCCTCCCTCTCTCTAAACATATCCTCAGATGAAGAATGAATGAACAAACAAACAAATAAGGAATCCTAACACCGGTGCTAAATGAGTGATGCCGACAATAATCCTACCACGGGTACCCACTCAGGCGTGAGTCCCCACAGTAATTAGATTTAGAAAAGTGTTCCAATGTAATCCGAAGAACTGGACCTAAGAACAGCACAAAACAATGTGAAAGACTTTTGCCAGCAGCTCTGGAAACGGCTCCTGCTCGGTTTGTGTTTCTGCTGCTGAGCAGGTGACCCTGCAATGGAGCTGGGAAAGAGATGGGGGTTGGGGAGCAGAGAGAGGAGATTGGGGGAGGCATGAAACTAGAGCCAGGCAATGCAGCCGGGAAGAGTGAGTGCACAAAAGGAACTGGAACAACAAGATAAAGGGGGACAAGAAGGAAACCGGGCTGAGGTGCATAAAATCACAAGGGCGGGGCCCCGAGGTGGTTTCAGCCTGTCTCCCTGGGAGGAGCTGGGGTGGCGAGCCCACCAGGGTGGTCCTGGGCAATGGTTTGGGGGTGGGCATGAAGCTGAGCTGGCCCACTGGGGAGGAAGCTCTTGGTAATGACAGAATGGGGGGGGGGAACAATAATTCCCCCGAAGCCACCACCTGGCAGCCTACAGGAATCAGGAAACCCAAGAAAACGGGAGTGAAGCTGAAGGCCCAATAAAAGTGGCTCTCGATGTCAAAGTGCCACAGAGGTCGCTCTTCCTTCACACCTGAAGACGACACATTCCACAGGAATAACCACCCAAGTCTTGCCACCTAAAGAGATTCTACCCAAAAGAGGAGAGACAGGAAGGACTCTCCTAATGTCCGGCCCCTGCCACACTGGAGCCCCAAGGACGCCACAGTGAGAATCCAAGCATGTCATGTCTCTTCATCACTTTGGGGGGCTGGGGACTTTGCAGAAGGCACTATGTGGTGATCCCAAGTGTTAGGTTTTATCTCTAGAAGCAATCAAACAATTTATTACATTTAATTAGTGGTAGAAACACAGGTAAGGCCTTTTTAAAGTGGTCCCTACATAATTCATGTGTGTGACACATTTGTTTTTCGTGTTTTCGATGGAGCATTTAAGGCCTGGGCTTAGTACAATAAACACATGGTAACTTAGATGGAATATTCCCCCTTTCCCCAAGATGCCCATGCCCTTATCCTCAGAACCTGTGAATGTTAGTTTCCATGGCAACAGAGAATTAAAGTTGCTATTCAACTGACCTTAACATAGGGGGATTATCCTAAATTATCTGGGTGGGCCCAACGGAACCCCAAGGGTCCTTCAAAGTGGAAAAGGGAGGTAGAGAGATGGAGAAGTGACTGTGGAAGAAAGGCACAGAGAGATACAATTTGCCGGCACTGAGGACAGAGGAAGGGGCCACGAGCCACGAAGTGCAGGAGAGCCCTGGAAGCTGCAAAGGGCAAGGACAGGGGCACTTCCGCAGCCTCCAGAAAGGAGGCAGCCGTGCTGACACCTGACCTCAGCCCTGCATCAGATGTCTGACCTCCAGAACTATAGCAAAATACACTGGTGCTAAGATGCTAAATTTGTGATTTGTTTGTTATAGTAGCTACAGAAAACTAATAATATCTAACTTCTTTACAGTAACAGTAGTCCTGAACACCAGCTGCATTTTTTTGTTTTTGGTAACCAAAGAGTAAGAATTTCACATTGGTGATTCTGAAATCTAGAGACAGGGAACCTATAAGTCAACCAGACGGAAGTCAGGCGCCATTTCAGCAGAGGGACAAAGCAGGCCAGGAGAGCGGCAGCTGTGCCACGTTCCACGCTTTTGGGAATAAACTCCCCGCAATCCAATGATGTGCTGTCATACTTTGGATTCGTAAAACACTCACACACATCACGAGCCCCTGCCAGATTCATCCAGTCAGTTTTCGAGGACAGCAACGCTGCCAGCCTCTGTACCATTTACCTGAAAAAACTCACCACTCAGGGTAAATGGCTATTTGCAAGGCCCATGAGCAGACTGTTCAAGAAATTCATCCTAGCGGGTCAAACTTGTAAATAAAGCCAATAACGTTTAGTAGCTGTGACCCTACTGAGAACGGCATGAAAATCTCGGCAACGTCCATTAACACAGTATCGACAGTCACTTCTCCACAAAGCAGAGACAGAACTGAGATGACCTCAATGAAAAAGACACACTTCAGTTTTTGAGGCTAAGTGGGAAAACCGGTATTTCTACGCCGTAGCCTTGCTCAATCACACTGATCTGAAAATCAGAGAATATGCATCATTTGAACAGTAACTGTAACAGACTGAATAAAGAAAATCTAAGCCAAGAGTAGTATCAGATACTCAGTTCTACTTCACGGTACCATATGCACCGGTTACCATTCAAACCCTCTGGCCTTGAATCTGGTGAAAGATTCAGCCTCTACTCTGTCTCTAGGCAGCTGTGACATGTGGGTGAATCTCCCCCGTGTGCTGACCGAGGGCAGACACCACGGCTTCGGGGGTAACGTAAGGAAAACAGATACGAGTCTGAGAAGCTGATGACAGCCATACTGCTTACGTGGTCAAAACAGAGGCTGCTCACAGGTCTCAGAAAACCAGAGGGGAAGGAAGGACAGCTACTGAAATAACAACATAAACAACGGTTTTACCAATAACGACAAGCTCAGGCGCAGCGATGAGAACGAGCGGGCAGGCGGGAGCCCTCGGAGGGCAGGGACGTGGATGTTAAGCCCGCGACCTCACAGGGCACCCCGGGGAGTGGGATGACCACCAGTAGGGCTCAGGGGTTTTCCACGGGAACTTCCAGAACTGGCTCCGAGGACACGTACTGATGACAGGAACGCGGCGAGTACTGCGGGGAGGCTCCCCGAGCTACTGGTCCAAGCAGGCTTCTTATTACACCTTATATGTTCTATTTATTTTTTAAAAACTCTATCAGCTCAGAGTATTAGCCCATGAAAACCCCCCTTGGTAAGAAAAAGTACTTTTCTCTCAATTCATTGCCTTCCAAAACTATACAGGCCTGGGCAAAAGTAGGCTTACAGTTGTGATACAAATAAGTAATACACTAATTAATAAATAAATAATAAAAGAATAAACTCTGTGTCTCTCATACAACTGGAGACCTACATTTGCCTACCCCTCTATTAACAAAACAATACAAAGATCAAAGATAAAAAAATACAAAACAGCCCGGCCAGGCGTGGCTCAGCGGTTGAGCGTCAACCTAGGATCCAGGCGATCGGGGTTCGATTCCCGGTCAGGGCACATGCCTGGGTTGCGGGCTCGATCAATGACTCTCTCATCATTGATGTTTCTATCTCTCTCTCCCTCTGCTTTCCTCTCTCTGAAATCAATAAATATATTTAAAAACAAAAACAAAAAACAAAATAAAAAAACCTATTTGCCACTAAAATGCAGGTCGGCATCTTAAAGATTATTCCAAGTATTTCACAAAGAGCAATGTGAATGGTGGTGGAGGGGTGGGCCCTTGAGAGGGACGCCTCACACGTCCAAGAACACGGACAGGCGATCGGCTTTGTCTGGCAAAACCAGTGTTATGACGTGAACACGCGGGCTCACAGCCAGAGGCAGGGCTGAGCCGGGCGGGGGCACCCCCCCCAGCGAGCCCCCCGCTCCCACCTGCTGCTCGGCCAGCCTCTTCTGGATCTCCTGGTCATCGCAGACGGCGTACACCACGGGCTTAGCCAGCTCGGACTCGATGCGCGCCAGCCAGGTGCGGAGGCTGCTCATGTTTTTGTCTAGCTGCTGAATAAAAGCAAACGTCTCCTTCAGCTTCTTCACCCTAAACATATTTGCAGGGACAAAAAAAGGGAGGGGGGGGACACACAAACATGCAACAGTTAGTTGTGAGAATGCTCCAATGAGGGCACTGGAAGGGTAAAACCAACCTACGCTGGTTATTGATTTTACAGAGGAAACAACTCTCACCGGGTAGGAGTCTTCACAGAATGTGACACTTTACAGAACTGCTGTTCCTGTTGACTTTCAAGTGGACTCAGAGTTAATTTTCCCAAGCAAATATGAAGTCCTACCGTTCCCAGAGTGGGACCCCTGGGCCCCAGTCCATCTTTCTCTCTAGATTAAATGGCCACACCTGACTTCTACCCGCTCAGTCTTGGGATCCCCGAGACTGCAGCAATCAGGGACCTTCCCTGTCAACGGAATATGTCACACGCCTGGTTCACTGGATGGTATTTGGCCCAAGATGCCTCCCAAGGGATTCCCCTCTTGAGTAAGCACAGAACACGTACCAAACCCCAGCATGTCTAGTCTGAGGGGTGAGGGTGCTGTACACATAGAACCAGCCTGTTATGGGGCAACTGTGTCAGCCACAAAGGGAGGGGGGTGGGCCAAGGACGATTTTCCAGCACAGTCCTAAACCCATCTCCCCCCCCAATACACCTGAGCGGCTCTGAACAAACATACGTGGCTCAGTGTATTTCTCAGTCTATTTGGTGAGCTCGCCATCAAGGGGAAATGACAGCTGCTGAGGGAAAACAGTCTTTACACAGATCCCGAGATAAAATGCTTCCATAAGCTGCTTTCATGAAAGTCCTAAAGTAGAGCACATGAGGGCTTTTTCTAGAGATCTGTAGGATTTTTAGTGAAGTCCAGAGACTTGAGGCTGCAATGGGAAGTTCCACTTACCAATAATCAATACTGTTGTTTCGAGGTGCAGTCAGAGCCCCATCCCAGGGCACCAGGAACAGGAATCGGGGCACCGACCTCCCGCCACCATCATCTCTTCTCTGACCGCCTGTGAGCAGCTTCCCACCACTCTCCCTGTCTTTCTACCCACCTTCAGTCCTGTAGCTGAAGCACACATTTGAGAGGGCAAGTCTGATCCCTGCTCAGACCCTCTGCAGTCCTCACCCTACCCGGGCAAACTGGTGTAATCTCTCAAGTTTCTAGGTCCTCAAGTCATCAGTGGCCTCTCTGCTCCAACCCCACACTCTGCAAAGCGGCTCCTCCTCCCAGAGCTTCACCACCGCCCCGTTGGCATGCTCCCGAGCACCCCCCCCCGCCCTGTGTCGTGCCAGCACCTTCCATGCACTGTGCACCAATCCCAGGCTGTGTGGGGCGTGCTCCCTCTGCATGCTCAGCACCCCCCAAACGCCTGGTGGCGGGAGGTGTCAACAAACCTTTGTTGAATGAATAAATGTGTATAAGATTCTCACCACAAACTGTTTAAGTAGACCACTGAGTCATGTGGATGTGTGTGCGCGCGTGTGTGTATGTTTTTATTTATTTATTGCACCCTACAATTGACCAACTCAACTGTGGGACTTCTTGCTCCAGTTCTCTTACCAGCTAGTTTTATGATTTAGGGGAAATCTTTTTACCTCAAGTCCCCTGCATCTCCACTGGCCTCTGAGGCCCCTCAAGCTTCAGGGAGGTGGTAACATCCAGGTGAAGTTAAGGCCAGGACTCTGGAGGTAACAGACACTGGTCTCTAAGTCCCATTGTGCCATAAATGAGCTGCACATCCCTGCAAGGTACCCAACTTTCCTGACTCCTGGTTTCCATGTTATCTGCAAAATCATCTACCTTGCAGGTTGGAGGATGCACGTAAGCCTTTGGCACAGAGTTAGCACTCAGTAGGATACTAGCTCTTACTACTGCTAACTGGGATTACATGATGTTACGATGATGCCTCATTTATACAGCATTGGACCTCACAAAGTCCATGCATAAATATTTCATTCTCAATACTGCCATGAGGTAGGCAGGCTTAGCAGTAGGCTGTGGAGTCTGGTGGTAGAGCACAGACTGTGGTCAGGGTCTGGATTTGAATCCTGACTCTGTTCAATCTCATCTGCAAAACAGTGTCAACAGGGGTCAGTGCCTTCCTTTACTAGGTGACTGAGAGGGTTGAATGAGATATAAACACATGAAAGGCATTTGGCACAATGCCTAACAGAGACAATTATGGTCAAAATGATTTTCAAGGGGATGTTTTCCAAACTACATTCTTACTGGAAACACAAGGCAGCCACAAGATGATTTATTAAAAAGGAAGTAACGGAATCCAGGGCCAGGCCTGGATGCACTTGTAACCTAGATCCCTCCTTTGTTCCTGTGGCTTTGTTCAGAGGTACACCTTCCTCACCCCAATGTCTTGTCACCCTGAGGGCCCAGGGGCCAGAAAGAACACTCCATACAATGCTGAGCAGCCAGGAATCCCAGGCTGCATGGGACAGGCGTCTTTCACAGTTTGCAAGGGGCGACCTTCTTAGAAGGCTCTGTCTGGAGGAGCAGCCCAGCCCTGAGAGCTTCCCCATAGGCAGAGAGAGCCCAGCAGCCTTTGCACAACTCTCCTGCCCACCTCCTCCCAGAACAGCAGCCCCACTGCTTCACCTGACCCTATTCCAGCCCAAAGATCCCAGCCTCTCATTCTAAAAAGGGCCAGAATGCAAGTTTTTACATGAAGGGAGCTAACAAGCAACAAAATAACTTGGGTGCAAAAAAACCAGAGATGCAGTGATTCTGAATCCTGTTAACCCCTGGGTGAGGTGTGCAGTGAGCAGTGGGGGGAATACGCAGAAGGTGGAGGAATTACTCATGTGGCTTCCCCAGGACCCAGTACTCCAGGCCAGTGGAATCCTGAGGGCTAAAGACACACCGACGGGGTGCGGGAATAAAACAGTAGACTTTCTATGATTATCCCATTCTTTTAAAATTTCTACACTGGGTATGCTTATAGATCACAAACCTTTTTTACTAAAATGGGACGTCTACAGAACATGCTGACATCTACTGGTGCCAGGTCTGTTGTGCTTTATGCGCTAGCAACTCACTGAATCCTCACAGATGCTATGAGATCGGCACCATCAGTATCCCCATTTGACATGTGAAGCAACTGAGGCACCAAGGTGAAATAACTCGCCCCCGTGACATGGTCGTTAAGGGGCAGAGGCAGGATTCCAACCTGGGCAGTCCAGTCCGGAACTGCTGTTTTTAAGCACTTTCCCTGTGGCGCCGCATATAAACCTGCATATGCTAATGTGCACATACTGGGGGTATGAGATGATTTTTGTTCCTGTCAGGGAACATGATCAGAAGTCTAGACTCATGGCTCCTGGATGAACTGGGGAAGGGGTGGGTTGGAGCCCATCCGCAGAGTGCTGAAGTTTGGGTACCCATGTTCGACTCTCCATGGTTTCCTTTCAACAAACATTTAACCACTTGCTTTGTCTTGGGATTCCGTGCAGATCCCGAGGCTGCAAAGGTAACTGAAAATAGGTGTCTTCTTCCCAGAGCTCATGGTCTAATTTTGATCTAATGTAGACATCATAATACAATATAGGGGGTGCTCAATACATGAGTAAGTGATGTTCACTCCTACTTTCAAATTTGTCTTTTTCATAAACGAGGTGGCCCTATTATATGCTAAAGATCAGAGCACCTCTGAGCCATGTTGCCACAAAACAATCTGTGGCCACACTATGAGCCACACATGCCTGATCTTCAACCTCGGTTCCATTCTGGGCAAGTGAAGGACTCGACAGAGGAGCACACAAACCACACACATCCTTAGGACAAATTAAAGAGGAAGGGAAGGTGGGAGGGAAAGAAAAGAAGGTTGCCAAGAAGCTACAAAACATCCATCCGGTCAGGATTTAACATGTCTCTATGTCCACAAATAGGGTGATAGAAATAAATGTTGTTCCTGAGATAATATGTTACAACTTACTCTAGGAAGCGTCAGATGTACTACTGCGTTTGTATCAGTCTATTCTGCACAGACACAGATCTAATTATCACCTTTCCCAGGTCAGGAAGTTCTGTCCTTTGCCACCCCAGGCAGCCGACCTCCACGTCAGGCCTCGTGAATATTGCTCTTAAAATGTTTAAATCTTGAGTTAATACTGAGCAACAAGGAAGCCCATTCAGAAAGCAGACTGTTGGCACAGGGAAGTGACCACAATACTGCATTACATCAACCACCAAGGCCATTTACGTCGCTCGCCACCTCTGCACCTGCCACGTTCCACCCAGGTGCGCTAGGCTAACATTGCTCACACATATATTTCATCAAATCGCATTTCTCCAGAAAAAATAAGCATGACTTCCTGAGCTGAATTCCAGTTCCAAGGATTGGGAAAAACAAAATGTTTAGGGGCAAAGGGGCAGTTTTTCACCTGTGTGGCCTATTGGAAGGCCCAAATAAAACATTTTTTATATGAAGACAAGCAAGATAAGAATTTCACCTGAGTAGCTACAAATGAGAAGTTCTTCTGCGGGGACAGAAAATAACCAAAGCGAACGAAGTTTTCCTTTTATCTTAACTAGCGATGGATCAGAATATAATACTTAAGAACCCTCCTCTCCCTCTAAAACAAAATCAAGCCAGGTTAGTATCAAGCCTGTCTTACACTGTGTGATGGAGACTTTAAATACCAAATGCACGTATATGGAATAATTTACATTTCAGTCCTCTCCTCTTACATGCTACAGTTAAATTATAAGGCCCCATATCAGCATCAGTTAAAACAATTCCAATGCCACTGTGCACAGCTTCACTTAAAATATACAAGGAAATATACTTAAAATAACTCAGGAAAACTGAGATGGTTGAAGGATCTGAATTTGTCTTGAAACAAACAGATCCTCAGACCTGTGGGCAGCTGTCAGTTGCTTAAAACACTGTATAAATTCTGTACAACGGCATCTCTGTAAATGACTAAACATCTTTATAGTCACACAATCCACTGCTCCAGAATCCTGAAGCCCGGGTCTGGGGGCATGGCCATTACAACGCACTTGAGCTAATTGCCTCTT